GTCTCTGTGACTATTTAACAGGAAATAGAACCTGTACATGATGTTCTTCATGTTGTTACTTAAATCATTTTAATTCAAATAATAGATCAATTCAGAATATTTGATTAAAAAGCACAAAACGAACTAAAATGATTTAAAATAACACTGTTAACTCCATTTGGCAATGGATTTCAATCATACAATCCATCCCCTTTTACTATTTATTTCAAAACCTCCCTAATACCAAACAGTGACTTGAAAATTCTAAAGTATTTTCAATTTCGAAGTCATTCAAATAAATATACTTTAACAAATAATAATAAATAAAATAAAATAAAAAAAATATAAAGAGAATAACCCCATGATATTTTGGTAACAAACATCATCTTCCTTGGATAAGTTGAAGAGCTTGCGAATCTTTGAAGCTCTCACTCCCGGCTTCTCAGTATCAATATGCCCAGGGAGATCATTTTCACCATTTTTCACAACTACTAAGTTCATATCAGAGAGGTTGTGACTGACCAAGTTCACAATCACTCGTCCCTACCGATAGATGAATTTCAGATATAAAAGCAAACACAATGGTCATTTGTTAAATACTACTTTCGTCCGGCTCTAAGTGTCTCATTTACTTTTTGCGTGTTGATTTTTGAATATTAATTATTATATCAAAATATAGTACAAATTAAGAAAAAATTGCAAAAATACTTTCATTATTTAAAACATGGGTGTTATACATGTGCTTAGGCCAAACTTCCTCATCCTTTGAAAGTAGACTTAAAGTCACACGGTGGCTTCATATTTTTAACTTGACATTCCTTATCGGCGCTATAGAAGAACAAACAGGAAATCCGAAATTCGTCGATGACAGGGGTCTCGTCCATACAGGTGATTCGAATTCCGGCATGATTTTGACGTTTTTTTTTCAACCACTCTTTTCTTATTCCTCTCACGTTCAAGACAAGCATAAGAAACCATAAACTCAACAAAAGTTTAAGCTTTTGTTAGTAAATAATATACTGATTTTTCTTTCAACCATGCAACGACGAGAGAAAGAGCCTGCGACATTGACAAAGATTGGCCTCACGGTTGATTCCACGGCGACAATTGAGGCAACGTAACTTAAGGTTGGTGTCCTCGGTTATTACAATACAAAGAATCATACATCCAATAATATTTTTTGGGAGATATTTTTGGGAGAGAAGAAAAGAGAAAGAAAAAAATTCCATCGATTTTGCCTCTATTTCTCCAAGCCGGTGGGAAGAGGCGTTCCGAAATTGGCCTCGAAATTATTCTTGTTGCATGATTTTATTTTCTCACCTCGCAACATGAACTATTGCATTTGCTCTGACGGTCATAGGCCTATGTCTCAATATAACTTGTATATTTTAATTTTTTGTGTTTTTTAGTAAAGGTTTTTATCTTTTATCTATTTTTTTAAAAAATTTAATTTGAAATAGTTGACGTATTTTATTAGTGACATCCTATTTAACGTAATAAAATTGAGTAAGTTAATAATAGTATATTATGATATTATTATATAAATTTTTTATGAATAATGTTATTGATTTTTTGAAAGTAAGAATTAATATGTATTTAAATATTTTAAACATTACTAATTTTCAATTACAATTCTCCCAAAATAATAATAAATAATACAAAATATTTTTTATAAAAATCAAAAATAAAAAAATTTCAAATACTCATTACGAAAAATCAAAAAGTAAAAAAAAAAAAGTCAAATACTCGTTACAAAAAGTCAAATATTCAACTTAAAATAATATATTTTATATTTTTGACACAATTCTCTCTGCCATATACCAAAAATCAATCCATCAAGTTGAGTGAACAGAACTATTATATCTAAATTAATATATTATTTTACGAAGAATATAATATAATATAAATTATTTATTTATTTATTTATGTATAATTAACATAAATTAATTTTATAAAAATAAATAAATTTTTTTAAATATAGACAAAAAAATTATTGCTGAGAAAAGTAAAAAAAAAAAAAAAGAATTTTGAATGAGTCTTATATGTAAAATATTAAAAATTTAATTAAATTGATTTATATGTATTAAATATATTTAATAGTGATAAATTTATTAAAAATAAAAATATGTCAAAACAAACTAAAATGAAAAACATACATATTAATTGCTATAGGATAAAGGGGTATATATATATATATATACTAGCACCTACCGTGATATAATATATTGAGGTTGTATATTCAATGTCGAAATATGGAATGGGAGAAAAGACAATGAAGTTGTACATTCGATGTGGAGAAATGGGAAAGAAAAAAAAAGACGGAGTAATGAATATAGATGTTCATGTGGAAAATCTCGACCTATTTAAATATTTGCATCATTATGTTGAGCCAATTATATACGATGGGAAAATAAAAGTAATTATGTTGGAATGATAAAAATTAATCCAAAAGAAAACTCTGGGTCTATTCAAAAAAAAAAAAAAAAGATAAATAACTAAAAGATTAAATCAATCTAAAGTAATTTCTAAGTAATTTCTCACATGCAATTAATAATGTTAAATAAAGAAAGGTATGACATAAAACAATAAAATCATTACAGTGAAATATCTATCCAACAAGTATTTGACGTATATAAATATAGTTGAAATTCGTGTTTTTTTTTTTTTTTTATTCCCTTAAAATTGTGTTAACAAAGTGTTGCGGTTCGGGCTAAAATCTTTATAATATGTTGAAGGTGAACAAATGTATCACCCATGTTTTTTTACACTATGTATAAGAAAAGTGAACCAAAAAAAAAGTATAAAAGAAATCCACAATGTCTCTTTCCTTGTATGAGAAGACTGCTTATAAGAAATAAAGCATCATCTACGAAAGAGTTGCAATTGATTAATTTCATAATCAAAAAAAAAATATTGACTTAAATTATTCCCCACTCAAAAAAGAACAATGCAAACCTCACGGGGACCACTTGAAGAAGATTCCTACATCTAAGTTCAAATTTTGGCATTTAAAAAATGGACTGCATGAATTATAATAGTAAATTGGCAACAAAGAAAAGAAGTTGAGAGCAGTGAATTAATAATTGATAATCTTAAAGTCTCCTTAGCACTTCCATAGTTCACAATACCAAAAGTCAAAATAACATAAAACCCTCATGTGGTTTGTTGAATTTTCTGAAAATCCCCCGTGGTCCAAAAATTCCGAAAAATCTACTCGTAGTTTTTAAAATATTGCAAAAAACACATCATCTGTTAATACTTAACGGTGAATGTATCACACGCGCTGTCACTGCAATTATTGTTGAAAATTCATAAAGTCAAGAGAAGGAAACTACAAAATTGGCCTTCCATTTTCACCTAATCTTCCCATACCTTCTTATTTCGTACACCGAGAAAGTAGAGAAATTCGCTAAGGAAAATAGTTTCCCCGATTCCGCCAAGGTCTATGGCTCCTACGAAGCCATCCTCGACGATCCAGAAATAGACGCAGTTTACATGCCTCTCCCCACCAACTTGCATCTCAAGTGGGGGGTTATGGCAGTCGTAAAGAAAAATAACTTGCTGCTGAAGAAGCTGGTCACACTGAACATCGAGGAGCCGGACAAGATTTTCAAAACTTTTTCCCAATTGTTTATATACACAGAGATATATTCATTCCATATGGAAATCACAAAGAAACGACACCCTCAAGCTAAGAGTCCAATGATTACATAAATTGCGGACGAAATGTCGGATTTTAAAGATCGAGGAAGACCACAGCTTTGGTGATTATTCGAAACGCGGCGGCAGAGAAAGCTGGGAGCAAAACCAGCTCCATTATCGCGTCTCCAACCAAAAGCCGTTTGATATGTCGTCGGAATCGAACAAGGTTATGGCACAAATTCTGGAGCTTAAAAACAATTTAGAAATTGAGCGCAAGGCATACGTGTTTTTCCATTTCAATACAATCAATTTCCTTGGAAAACAATTTTGGTTGTTTCTTCACTACAAGAAAATATCAATTTTGTAACAAGGTTTTTTCGTCTCTAAATCCAAATTTTCCGTTACTAATGACATTAGAGACGGAATTAGAGATGAAATTACGTTAACTACGTGAACTTTAGGGACGGAATTCTGTTACAAATATATTATTCTTTTGTAGTGCTTGTTGTGTATGTGTTATCTGGAAATGTATTGTTGTTGATATCTAAACTATTGTGTTTCATTCTTTGTATGTGGGAATGGATTTTCTGTAAATCAATTTTCTGTAAGTACTACTAAAAGAAACAAATGCTACTATTAAAAAAAACAAATGAGTTGAGGATTTGTGGAGTGTTCGAAGGTTGTAAAGGCAATTGATTTTTGGCGGAGGATTTTTAGGGTGAAGGATTCTGGCGGTGGTGTCGAAGAGGGGAAGAAAGGGAAGAAAGGGTGGATGAGAGTGAGTATTTAGGACGGGATTGTAGGGTAGGGGTCAGACATGGTGGCGGCAATGGGAAGGACGACTCCGACAAAAAGAAAGGTGGGTGGAGAGTCTCCGGTTGGCGGCAGCGGTGGTGAGGAAGACGAAGAAGAAGAAAAAAAATTAAGTGGATAGAAAATGAAGAAGATAAAGAAAGGATGTGAAGAGAGAATGAAAAGAGAGAAGATAGAGGCATAACGGTCAATTTTTGTAAATATTTAACGCTGTGATTTGCAATTTAGAAGAGGGGCGAGTGTGTACCATTTTGAAAACCACGAGTAAATTTTTTGTAGTTTTCAAACTACATGGAGTTTTCAACAAATTCAGCAAATCACAGAGAGATTTTATGCTATTTTGCCATAGCAAAAATTTTAGGACCGACGAACACACCCCAACATGTATTAAATAACTTAAAAGCCATGGAAACACGAGTATAATGAAATGGGAAATAAATGTACCAAGGAACCCTAAAAAAAGCATAATAGATAGAAAACATTAAAAAATATATGTGTATATATATATATAAGTATAACAAATCTAGAAGAGTAAGAGAATGTATTGATCGTTTCCAGTTAGGATTTAAGCATAATATTTCTTGAAGCAATGCAACAAAATATAGTTTTTGACAAGTATATCACCTTAATATGAAAGTTGTAGTTGGAGCAATCCAAAACACACCAAGGTTTCACACATTTTTAGCAACCAAAAAAAAAAAAAAATGTAGAAGGAAAACATCGAGGAATCTAACATTATAATAATATTTATTTTTTTGCATTTTTTCTTATTTTATCTTGCTATTGCATATTACTGGTGGGGTTGTGAGCAGATGTGGTGATTACTTTTTGTCCTCTAGATTTGGATATCTTCGCCGGGCTTTGAACACCTGTAGATGTTGGACTTTCTTCGTTGAAATGTTTGAAACTTCAATGTCCACGAAAACTGTAATGAGAAACCAATTATACAAAATTCGAGCAGGGTATAAGTTTATAATTTGATTAGCAACTGTAAAAGGCAATTATATTTTATAGAGTGCACATCTATTATACTAGCAAATACATGTATTCTTATTTTGAATAGACGTGCAAATTTACATATCATTTTTCTTCTTTGGAATATTCCTATGAAAAGGCTAAATGTTTGAGATTGAGTGTAAGACTAAAATTGTATATTGTAGACATGGATGAAGTAGGAGCCGGGATTTTTGGTTCAGTAGACTCTGTAAAATTTCTTGTTACTATGAAAAAAATAGACAATAAATTACTTATCTATTGGGCCAAAAATATAGGACAATTAGATATTCGAATAATGCACTTGATTGTAAAGTTTGCATGGCAACAATTATGTAGGCACCAGTTTCAAACTTTGTGGATTTTGAGTCATTTTTTTCAATTGTGAATAGAAACTCCATATTACTTACAGACATGTTTCGCAGATGACATATTGCAATGATATCCTGTAAGAAGAGAGTTGCATAAATATTTACAATATAAAAGTGTATATATAATGTATTCAATTTAAAAAGATGCAAATATAAGTATAAAAGGGGGAGAATGGTTGGGTTGTTTGGAAGACATGAGTAAGCGATATGCAAATAAATTGTGAAAGACAGAAATGTGAAAAAAGACTTCAATTTCAGAAGACTATATTTGCAGAAGCAAAATATAGGTAGGAAAATGTAGTGTAATATAATAATATGAATGAAACTTTTAACATGAACAGTAACAAATTCAACGAAGTGAATGATGCAATGCACTTTAGAATAGAAAATACAATGCATGAATTACCAAATAATTTAAAAGTGAAAGTTGTAAGGAAATAAACATTGGAAAATATAGGAATCATTATATGATAGTAGTTCCCAAAACCTGTATTACCTTATTAGATTGGTGAGCTATCTCACTTGTGTCAATGTTGAGTAATTGGGATGAAAGTTCATCATAAGCAACGCATTTAACAAATTTTGTTGAGTCTCGCAGTTCCCCACGCAAGAGGTACATACAGAAAATACATATAATGAGAAATGGACTTTTGAACACTATGTAATTAGCACATACAAAAGAGTAGGTAACCTGATTTCGCAAACTTGAATGTTTGCACAACAGAAGCATTTGAACTTGTGTTTGTCATGTGTCATGATGGGGGTGTGGCATTTTGCACATGCTTTATATGACAGCTTCATTGTTGAATTGATGGTAATTTGGAAGGAAGCTTTGCAGTGAAATTCTCCATTCTACAAAAAAAAAAAAAAAAGTTAGAATTGTGTAGCAATGCAAGTAATAGTAGTTATATTTTACAATGTGATGCTGACCCTTGTAGATGCAAGCATATGAGAAATGGTTGTAGTTTTGCCAGCTTCGACGAAACCCAAACGTAAAAACTTTTCATTAAAGTAATCTTTTTTCAGAACAAGAACATCCAAGTAGGCCATATTTTTAAGTTTCCTACAAAAAAAAAAAAAAAATAGATGACGGAAGTTAATATGGTGTTAGTTTGTAAGTGGTGCAATAAACTTTACCATTTCAGTAGGTCAGTGCATTCAGAATATGAAGGTTGTACAAAGAAGTTAACCGTTGTAATGACAGATAATGATAAGCTATATATGTTTTAGGAAAAAGAGATTCAACTGCTAAAACTGGTTACATACATTAATATCGATAATGTGTAAAGGTATACATATATTTTTGGAAGAAAGGTTTGTACTGATTACCATCAAGATGTAAGGGGCGAACGTTGAGCGCTGCAATTATTGGACAATTATCCATAAGTGCAGTGAAAAATTTGCCTTCAATATTTACAAAACATCATTCAACATAGTAATTCTTGTATGTGTTTTTCTAGAATTAAAAGAAAGAAATAGTCATTTCTATTGTGAATAAATAAAGTGAAGTGAATTGAATAAAAAGGAGTTGTGAAACAATGATCATTTCTTGCAGGCAGTAAAACCCCTTTCTTTTGGGCTCTTCCATGTCAATGACAATTCCTACAACATCTGTCAAGTGAGTAAGGCATTGAGGAAAATGAAAATGTTGGATATAAATATAAAATTATGCATAGACCAAATATACATGTTGTTTGCAACCCTTGTTACTGTAAAAAGTAATATTACCTATATAATTTTTTTTTCTTCCAGGTATTGGTGACAGAGTATTGTATGAATGTTGGCTTCCCCACCATGGCATTAATTGGAGAATCGGTGATAGGATTGATGCTTGGTCTCCTATTTAAGAAAAATTGGACACATGTATTGTAACCTTTCATAGTGTTTATTGTGAAGGGCTGCTAGGTTTCTGTGCAGAGATCATAGGACTTGTAAAGCTCCAGGCAATCATCTATAAGGCTAAGATCCGGATGAAACGCACACGCCTGAATTTTTGTGCCTTATATAGAATGAGGAAGTTTACATGAATATCAAAGGTAAAGACATATAGAAATAGCTATTACCTGATCATCAACAAAGATAAACCGTTTGTAATGTTTTCCAGTACATCCAGACACACGCTCTGCTAAGAATTCAAGAAGCATAACTCTTATAGTCCAGTCTTTTGTATCTGGAGTGAGCTCTGCAACCTTCGTGACGAAGTGATCTTTAACATTTTTTTTTCCTTCTTCCATGGCGGAAAAGAGGGTTTGAGAGTAGTGCCCAAGAATGTAAAATATTTAGTTGTAAATTATGTGATTATATAGGAAAGAAAAAATCATAAAATTTATGTATCTAATGCCGAGGATTTGGTACCTGAATATCAAGGAAATAATGAGAGTATGCAGAAAATCTTTTTACTTCTACAATATATGGTTGTATGACAAACGCGTACATTTGAATGGTCGATATGACTGGTTGTATGGGAACTTGGCGGATGACAAACCAACCATTTTTGTGGAGATAACTTCTGACATAAGGAGCCTTGAGATGTACCAATCTATAGAACAACAAGTTGAAGTAAATGAACACAAATTATCAACAATTATTTGGTACGAAAAAGAAGAATGGCCTTACGTAAGAAATGCAAGAACACATAAGTAAAAGAATTTAGGGTATGGATCCAAAAAGATTAGGCAATGCACAACAAATAAGGAGAGATGTATTTGAAAAATGCAATCTTCAAATTGGAAGATGGGAAGTATACACTCCGAACATTGGCTAGAGTCGGACAGTAGTATGAGAATCTGGATGTGAATTCTCTTATAAAATGAATTTAGCGAAACATTGGATTCTTTGAACAACATATATTATTATAATAATAAAACCAATAATAATCGATATTTTTTAATAAAATAATATCAAAATAATGAACCAAAAAGTTGATGGCCTAGTGTGCCCAAATTGGGCCTAAGGCCAGTGGTGTAAAAATTAAGGTATTTTATTGGGCCTTTTTAAGGACATGAAGTTACATAATAATCATAAAATACATAAATAGTAAAAGAAAAAATTGCTAATATATTTTTTTTGTTGTTGTTTTTTTTAGACATTGACAAAATGAAGAAATATGTTAAAACTGACATCTACATTAATCATAGTGGCAAATGACAATTAAATTGTCTACATAATTAGCACAATATAAGTACATTGAAGACATTATATTTGGGTAACAAGTTCAACAAGTACGTACCATTTACACAACTCTAAATAAAAGTAGGAGTCAAACCATCAACACTATATTCGATTTAGAGGTATGTCAGCATAGACAGAACAACACCAAGTAATACAAGTGACTTTATTTTTTAAGCCACAATGAAAAGAAATGAGGTTAGATGATAAAAAGAAGTTCTTAGAAGAAACAAAAAAAAAAAAAAAAAAAATTATATCCTTGATATTCAAGAAATAAGCAAGCTAAATTGTAGGAGTCATCAAAAGGTTTCTCCTACACATAAACCCAATATAAGTTAGGGAACCTAAACATAGAATCTCATATTCAAGAAAATAGAAGTCATTGTAGAGATGGGTAGCCACCACTTTAAAAAAGCAACAAATGAGTAGCCTCTAATTTACAAAGATTGAATGGTCTACTATTGAGCATTATGCATTTTTTGGACAATTGTTATTGTTATTATTATTGAATAACGTATGTATTGCACATCGGATAGTTTTGAGATCGAACACAACATTAGATAGTGCAAAGCTTAATTAAGAAAAGATTCTTCGGGAAAGACAATGAATAAATTTTTTGAGAGAATGAAACAATAAATATGACCATTACCCGGGATTCAAATTACCTTTTGCACACCTCAATCTGTAAAATGTTATCTGTGAAGATGTTCTATAAGAAAAAAAATAAGCACACCACTTAGGAGTAAAAACCAAAAAAAATTAACGGAGCATGAACGCAATAAAACTGAAATGGGTCATATCTGTCTGAATGTATCAATTAACAAATTTGAATGTTTCGATGACATGCGATTTGATACGAATAACATTGATAATGAAGAGCGTTGTGTTTTGGACGAAAAATATATCATTAATAGACCCAAAAAAATCCATATTTTACATATAAAGAAGATTAGATCTGCAAATCATGAAGAATAATAACATTTGTTATAGAAAGTAGTTTAGGACACAAATGTACTATATGAAGTGAGAAGTGATATTTTCAAAATTGTATTAAATAGATATTCCTAGGTACAAAAGCTTACAATGATTTATAACATATTCTGTATCATAAAAATAATTATACCACAGTTAACCAAGTGCATGCAAGTTGATTTTCCCAAAAACAAATGCCAGAAAAAAAAAACAGCTTATAATGAGATCATGAATAATTATCCAGAACTCAATGAGAAGTTACTAGGGATGACAGATTAATAAGAATGAGATATTTTTCTTCCCTATATCCCACAATTAAATTAACACTAAATGCATTTATGCAATGATTATGAACATATCTTTGAATCCTTCAAACAATCATCTGTATGTTGCTATTATGATGAAGTAGCAAAGATATATGGTGGACATTGTATACAAGAAAATTAAAGATGAAATTAGCATAAGTCAGTAAACTTGTCTATGTAATTACTAAATATGAAGGGGAAAAAAACTATTATTGAAACTTTTTTGTAAATAAACAACACCAATAGACAAAATAGCAAAATATTGAGCGTACAATCAATCACAGAACAAGTAAATAACGTAAAGTACAACCTACAAATTTAATTAAATCTAATTCTCAATTCTAGCTCATACAGTTACTATTGCAAAGAAATTGTAAAAATTCAAGAAGAACTTAAAATACAATAAGTAAATGCAATTAATATAGTAGATAAAAGCACGCATATAAAATTTCAGATATAAATATTGCAATTGTATCTTTGTAAAGTCATACAAAAGCTGATGATGATTGTAATAATGGCTACTGGACCGATGGTGATACCATGCTAATTTATCCTTGCTTTGGTTGCTAACCTTCACTTTGATAATATCATCGGCATAAAATGGGTCATGCCAATGAAGAGCATCAATTGGCCAATTAATGGCAAATTTTGAAAAATATTTGACCGGAATTTCCTCGCAAAGAAACTAAATAAATAGATTCGGAAATGAATACGCACTTGTGTAAACTTAGCTAATCATAGAGTGAATTATTTCTTCTTGTTGTTGTAGTTGTAGAAGCCATACAAGATAGGTGCTTCAATATAAACATTTCTAAGCAGTTATTAAATAACTAACATTCGACGGTATCCATGATGACATAGATGGATAAAGGACTATCGGTCTTCTTATGCTTATCACCCAATAGAAGTTATATTGGTTGTAATAGCGAAAATCTGAAGTAAGACCTTATCTGATCAAATTGAAAAAGTATTTGAAACCTCAACTTGGATGTGTATATGAAGTAACATTATTGTGAAGAATTCATATATTGTGAAAGACATGTCGCTCTAGCTTGGCCATGCTAATATCTATTTCAATGTGACGTGCGACACTTCTGGACCATAATATTGGCAAGTTAACATATTTATGGTATACAATAATGAAGTTGGATATATATAACGTAGAATCAAAATACCAAGAAAAAATAAAAATAAGAAGAGCTAGCATATATTCTTTCACTAAAATGATATGCAACAAACAAGTTATGCACTTCTTGAAGGTATTTTCCCGAACTATTTTCACAAACAGAAGGTAAAAGGAAGCCAAAAAATATGAAACTAAGTTGAAATAGCAGATAACGTAATCAAACTCGAAAAAAAATTAGTGTCTATTGCAAATTTTCATTAAACAAACACCAACGAGCTCAAGTAATAGATGCACAAAGTGAGCCACTTCCGCTATCAATTAAATACCATACAAATTTACAAAAAAAAAAAAAACATATGGATCGAGAAATGGCTGTAGTTCTAGGAACTAAGCATAACGATTTAAAATATACATAAAACACGCCAATTATTTATTATTAATGAGTAATTTGATTGGAAAAGAAAAACCAATGTATCAATTGGAAATAAACTCATTTTCCATTGACCCATTTGTAACCCTAAACAAAATAGCAAGAAAACAAGTATGACACAGTTATTCGAAAACAGTCATAGCATTTGGTTGTTCGCAGTGGGAAAAATAACCGAAAGAAAACAATGACACAACGCAGCATAGGAACCGTGATTCCGCAATTCATTAATGAGTAGAAAATGTCGATTTCGAGTGCCGAAAAGGTCAAGCAAATTGAATAAATCTTCATAGCAAGGACCCTCACAAAAGACCCGTGTAAACCATTAGATCTGCGCACATGAAGCATAGACTCAACCGGAGGGCTGAGTAAGCACATACCTCAATTAATTGAACTGGCAAAGCCTCGTTGGCGGCTTGTCAAGAAGAGCGGCGATAATCCCCGGGTAGAAAGTGGGATGACCTACGACCGTTTGGGGGCAACGGAAAAGCAGGCAACATCGACGAGTAAAAAGGCGGTGCTAAACCCTAGCAGGACGCAGGTGGATGGAATGTTTGGGGAAGGAAGAAGCGAAACAAGAAACTGCAACACATAATAGATTTGTGAAAAAATGGGTCATTGTAATTAACTAAAAGAAAAATTGGACAAAGGTAAAATAGAAAATTCAAGTGTCAAAACCTACTACCTGTATATTACACGAGTATTAAATATTAATAAAAATATAATTTTACATAATTTATTATTTGTCTTTTCACAAACTTAGGTATATAAGTTTTGAAATTTAGAAAAAAATTTGAAACAGTAAGATTTTAAATATTTAATTTAGCTTTTTGTAAAAAACAAAATAATTTTATACTCCCTTCGTCCTAATTCAAGTACTTTTTTTTTTTTTTATCATTTTCGTTCATCTCATTTAAAATGTCTCTTTTTATTTCCAGTAAAAAGTTATTTTGAGTTTCCAAACTTATGTTTCAATTTAAGAGTTAAAAATAAGACTTTATCCGTCCCATTTCAAATGAGTCTTTTTGTTTTATAGAAAATTTAAAAATAATAGTATTTTATTGGTCAGTAAAAGTATATAAGAGGTTTTAACATTTTTATCCTTCATAGTAATCGTATGTATAATAGTATATTTCTAATTTAAATAAAAATTAAAAGGTATTTTGATATTAATGTATAATTATTTTTAATAAAATAGAGAATGAATCATTTGAAGTAGAACAGACGAAAATAGTAAAAAAATCATTTGAATTGAAACGAACTAAATACTACTCTCTCCCCGTTCCAATACAATAATCTTGTTTACCATATTTGTCTGTTCCAAAACAATAGTCTCATTTCCATAAATAATCATATCACTATAAAACTACTCTTACTTTTTCATTATTATTACACAATTGTCACTACTTTTTACACTAATACACTCACAAAGGCAAAAAAGTCTTTTACCCGTACTTTTTACCTACTACCAATATAATATCAATATTCGTTAAATCTCGTGTCAAATAGAACTCAACTATAGTTTTGAAATTGAGAGAATAATTATGTAATATAATAAAAATTAAAAGATAGTTTAATTATTATTTACAAGGCTGCCTTTGGGCAAGGCCCATTTGTGATTGGCCCCAAGTCTTTTTGTTTATTATTTTTTCATTATCTATAAAATAAAAAATATAACAAAGAAAATTGTAGTTTAAGTTAAATAAATTTGTATTAATATTTTACATTTTATATAAATTATTTAATATTAATTTAATAGCTTTTATTTTAAAAATATTTTAGTATAAATATATTATTTATATTTTTTTTATTTTTCAAAACGGCTATCATTTTCTTTGATTTGAGAAATTTTTTTCGTAACACATTTTTCAAAAAAAATTAATATAATATGAACGCTTATTATTTTTATATTATTGGAACAATTTTTAATACATTACATAATTTTTTTTTCAAATCAAAACACAAACAAACACATTATTTAGTTTTAATTGACATATTTGGTTTGTGTGATATAATATTTAAGATAGTAAAATTTAGTAAATTAATGAATGTGACATGTGATATTATTTTAATTGTTTTTTTATATGAGTAGTAATTTTGATATTTTTAAAATAAAAATTAATATATATAATTAAAAAAATTAGAATATGTATTTTAAATATTTTAAATTCTATGTTTCAAATATATACCATACATATATTAGTTTATAAAGAATAAAATTTTATATAATATTATTAAATAAAAAATATTTTTATTTATTTATAATTAGCATAAATAATTTTCTTAAAAACATAGGAAAATTTTGGGCGTTCTCTCACAATTTTTAGAAAATATATTTTCTCCAAAAAATTTATATATTACATACATTTACTATTTTTATTTTTATATTACTTATAAAATTTTATCTCACATAAAAAAAAATAATAATAATTACTTCAAATAATTTTACTAAATAAACACACCATTTAACAGGGTAAAAAAAAATTGGGATAAATTAAATGTGTAGATAGTGATAAAATATTTGCTATAAATAAAATATAAGTATATGTTCTTTTTTTAAAAAAATAAATAAATTTAATAAGATGAAAAGTGTAATATAATAAAAAGAATATATTTGAAATAATTTAAAACAATTAATTTTAAAATGTTCTTAAAAATATAGATTGTTATGCAAATATTCTAAATAATTTTAATAATAGTTACTTTATTAATATGTTGTAATAATTTTGCTATATTTAAACTTTTAAAATTAACATTTATATAAAATCATCTTAGTATCTCAACAAATGTTACATTTTCATCTATTTTTTCATTTTTCAAGATTTCTAATGCCAAGTGAAGAGTTGAGATGAATATTGATCAAATTTAGATTTGCTCATTCAATATTTTTATAGTATAATTTTTATAAATATTATAAAAAGTCTAATATATATTCATATTAATTCAATATATAATATTTGAATTATTTATAGAAAAAATATATATATATATTATATAATGCTATAAAATATTATATCTTTTATTTGTGAAGTGTCTAATACTCCCTCTTGATCTCATTTACCTTTTTGCATCGTTATACTTAACATTAAAAATATTTTTTTATTTATATAATTTTTTACACAAATGTCATTATAATAATATAATAAGATAGTAATATAAGTATTTTATTATTATTTTTTTAAATTTATACTGTATTTTTATATAATAATTAATATTTAAATATATAGGGTGTTTGGAACAGAGATATGACATGAGAGAGAAATGGAAATGTTTCTATTTCTGTTGTTTGTTTGAGTCAGAGAAATAAAAATTGAGAAATAAATCATTTTCATATCTCTGATTTCATTTTTCTCCCACATCCTGATAAATAGAGAGAAATGAATATTGCGGTATTATAGTTATTATTTTTAAATATTTTTTTACTATTTAATTTTTATAATTTTTAAAAATTATATTATTTCAATTTGACAAAAATCACACTAAATTTATTATTATAAGAATTTAATTTTTACTATTTTTGAAAAAAAATATATTAAAATATAATCTTACAAAACTAGTATGTAATTTATAATTATTCAAAAAACATCATAAATAATATTTTTTCATGAATTATCATTTTTTAAAACTCTTTTTTGTCAGATTAATTATTTATTATTATTCTATCCATTCAGATAACTTTATTTTTTTTACATTTCTCAATTGAATTTTCAGTTTTATTAAACAAGATAATTAATTCTCATTTTCTATTTAATTCTTTTTTTATGTAATTCTATTATATATTCTCATTTGTCTGTAATTTCATTCTCTCTGCCAAACGTTGTGTTGATAAAAAAAAAAAAAAAAAAAAAAAAAAAAAAAAAAAAAAAAAAAATTTCCTTAATAATTGAACAAACCATTTAAAAGTTAAAACCACTGTCTTTATTCGTTAATAAGCTTTGACAAGTATTTCGTGGGAACATATTATTATTACATGTGTAGGGGATAAGGTAGGGTAGGGTATCACTTGGAATACTTGACATAAACAGAATATTCCGGCGAATCTCTGATGAGCGTCGCCAGCACCGGCACCGTCAGGCACAGCATCTCCGCCCTCTGGTAAACAAACCCCTTGCAGTTACAGTCCCGGCTGCACTTTTCCCGACATTCCCGAAGCTTCAAACGCTCCGCCGACATCTGCAGGGTCAGAAAATGTTCAGCCCTATCTATTCTGTAATACCGGATTCCGGCGGCGCCGCCACAATTAGGAAGCTGCGGCGGCGAGCAGTTCGGAGTCCACGGCAGCAGCCCTTTCCGGCTAGGGCACGAGACGCACGTGCCGTTCTCGCACAGACCGAACTCGCCGCAACTCGCCGGCAGCGCGCATTTCCGGTCATGGTAATCGCCGAAATAGGCGAAGCTTTGGATCCACCCGCCGGAGGTGTAGGTGAAGGCGTCGACGCTGCCGTCGGCGCTGAGGCGGAGGAATGAGTATTTAGCGTCGTAATTTAGCGTTTTCAGGCGGCGGATTCCGCCGACGCTCGTCCCCGGCGGCGGACCTTCGTATTTGAAAATTAGGTCCGACGACGTCGTATTGAGCTTCACGGTGGTGAACGTCGCGGCGGTGCCGCTGTAGCCGCTGAAATCGGCGTACCTGATGAGGTCGCCGGAGTTGTTGAGGTACACAATTACGCCGTTGTCTTCGAGGATGAGGCTGTACTTCCCGTCCGCCGCGTCGGTTGCGGATTTCCGGCTGATTAGCCGCGTCGATCGGAGTTTCAGCGACATTCCGGCGAGGAGCGTGTCGATGGGATGGTCGAAGCTCTGCCAGATAGGAATCCCATTTTGACTGTGCAAAATTAGGTTTCCGTTTCCCAACAGTTTAATTCCGTCGACGCCGGCGGCGGCGGTGTTGGTCTGCCAGGCGACGGCGCCGTCGGCCTCCGCCAGGACGAGGTTCCCGTCGCGGCGGAGGGTGAGTGTGGCCTTTTCCCCGACCGGCCGGCGGCGGTTCGCCTCCCAGACCCACCGGTTCGGCTCCTTGTCGCGGCGGACGCCGCCGCGCACGGCGAGGATGTATTTTCCCGGTGTGGAATTGTAGAAGCAGAGAGTGAATGGGAATGTGGAGAAGGTGTAGCCGGCGGCCCGAACTTCGCGGTAGCTGGCGGCGTACTCGGCGACGTTGTAAACCAGGTCGCCGGCGTTTGTGAAGGTGAAAGTTTTGGTCGCCGGAATCTGAGAATTGGCACTTTGCAGCGTCAGGAATAGAAGAAGAAGGGAGAGAGGCGCCATTGTTGGATATTGAAGAAACTGGGAACGCCATTTATAAGAGATTTTGGAGGTTTGAAAAGTCAAGGAAGACGACGAATCGAATTGAATGTTCGAGAGTAGCTGTTTGGCTTCAATTGATTGAACCTTTGTGTCATAAACCGCAGGCTAAAAACTTTTCGCCACTGTATTTGGTATGATGCGTACATTTTGTTAATTTTTATTATAAAAATAATATCCAGCTTCGTCCAATTTCTATTGTTCTAAAGTATATTTGTACGGTTTTTCCTTTAAGTGATTTGTTTTTTTGTTATAAATTGATAAATTTGCTCTTAATTCTATGGTAGATATTAAGGGTGTGTTTGTTTGGAGGTTTGGATTTTGAGTTGGGATTTGAATAGTGAAAATTTTGAATTTGAATAGTTGTATGATGTGATATAAATAGGTGTTGATGTGATATTTTGAATGTAAAATTGATTTTTAGTATAATATAAAAAATGAAAAATAGGTGTTTGATTTGATGTTTTTGGGGGGAAAAAATTGGATGAATAGTAAAAGAAAAATCCAATCCCTCAAACAAACACACCCTAAAAGTAATAAATGAATGAAAAGTAAAAATATAAAATTTGTGTTTAAAAAATAAAATAGGACAATAGTTGTTGGACGTCCCAAACAAGAAAGTAGGACATTAGTTTGTAGACGGAGGGAGTAATACTTTATAGTATTATAATTTTTTTATTACCATTTATGTTTTTTAAGTAAATTTTTAAATATTAATATTATATAAATTTGTAATAAAAAATACAAAAATATCTCTATTAGTATTATATAATATAAAAGTAGTGGTATTTGTGTAGTATATTGTAAATTATAATAATAATTATTATGTTAGGTACGTAGTACAATTACTAAAATATTGCCCTTCTTTTGGAACATAAAAAAATAGAAAATGATATCCTTATTATGGGACATATGAACTATATTTTTTTATTATTATTTTTATTACTTCCTTGGTCCGCTTTTAAGAGTAACATTACCTTTTGTGTCATTGACTTAACATTAAAAATATCCTTATATTTGTATAATTTTTTATATAAATGTCATTATACTAGTATTATAAGACACTATAAAAATATTTTTGTCAAGTTCTCTTGATTTGTACTATGTTTTAATACTATAATCTGAGCTAATCCAGAAACAATAATTTTCGTCGAACAAAAGATCTTTTAAGTTTTGATTTAGAAATAATAAAATACATCAACTCTTCTGAAGAACAACCGAAGAACACCCAAAAACTTGCGTTTTTTATTTTAATAAAAGACTTAATAGCTCTGATACCACTGTTAGATATATGATCGAAAAATGAAATCGAAAACAAGTTTGAAAAGAACCAAAAAGAACTTTATTAAAGAACATAAACAAAGCGTAACACAAATGGAACACAAAGAACACAATAATGTGGCTTAAATTTAAAATCGGTTCACTTTATCGAACAAAGAAACCAATAAGAAAAAAGAGCTGCTACGGCGACGGCCAACGAACATCCGACGAGCCTATCTCCTACCCAAAAAGAAGAAACCCAAACCCTCGAAATTGAACAACACAGTTTAGATTAATCGAACCCTATAAACCTCGCGAAACACTCCACAATGTCCCATAGAACAAAGGCCTAACTAATCACAGAGAATATCGCCGGAAAACACATATTGGAGATATACTAGAAGAAGAGGAAAAACGATCGCGACAGAGAACCCTTTTTTAGAGAGAAAGAATATCAGTAGCTGTGATGCAAATAAAAGGGGCAACAATATATATATAAATGCAACAGACGACTAGGATTAAAACCCTAGGATGGACGGCCGAGATCTGATCCGGGGAAATTGGGCCGCGGGTCAAGTCAGAGCCAGACAAGTCGGATTTTGGCCAAAATTCAACATTTCTCCACCTTTTTGTCGAGATTCACACGGATAAAGATCATCGTAGCCACACCTATTACTCAATCATAATGTAAATACACATTTAAAATAGAATTTGAAAAAGTAATCAAAATTCAAAATTTTTAAATATGACTCAAATTTTGAGACAAACAAAGATTTGGTACCCATATTAGCCGGATTAAGTTCCGAAGGAATTTTCTCTAACTTTATGAAACCTTTAGCGACTATATCACAAATAAAATGAAACCAAACATCTATATGTTTTGTTCGATCGCGAAAAACAGGATTCTTGTAAAGTTGAATACCCGTTTGACTATTTGAATACACTACAACATCACCCGATAACACACAAACTTCATATAGCAGCCCTTTTAAGCACAACGCCTCTTTCAAGGCTTCAGTAATAACAATATATTCATATCCAGTTGTAGATAATGCAACAATGAATTTTAATTGCTATTTCCAACTAATAACAGATCCACACAATGTAAACACATAAAAAATAGTAGACTTTCTACTATCTTTGTCATTCGCATAATTTAAATCAACAAACCTTTCAAAATCACACCACAATTAGATTTAGAGTATTTTAAGCTCAAATTCATTGTACCAGACAAATATTTCAAAAGCCACTTTAAAGCACACTAATGTTTCACACCGGGGTTTGACATAAATCGACTTAAACACTTCACAACATAAGCAATATCATGCCTAGTACTAACGATAAGGTACATAAAATAACCTATTGCATTAGATTAGGACATAATTTTCATATATTCTAAATCAGTTTGTGTTTAAGGTGACTGACTTTTACTTAAAGAAAAATGTGAAGCTAATGGCACACTAACATATTTGGAATCGGTCATATTAAACTGCTTATTCACCTTTTTTTCACATATGATGATTGATTTAAAAACAAAACAGATTTTTCCATATTTTTCTCTATATGCATGCATATAATAATTTTTAGGCACCTAAAATTTCATATCAAATTGATTACTCAAACATTTATTAATAGTATGATTTATAACAGTCATATCAGAACTAATTAAGAGTACATCATCAACATAAATCAGCAAGAAAATAGGTTTATCATTCACTGATTTAAAGTACAAACAATGATCAAATTGACTTCTATTAAATTACATTGCCTATGTGATTATTTTAGGCCATAAAGAGATTTCCTTAACAAACGCACAAAATCGGGTTTGTTTTTGTCAATAAAATCATCGGATTGTTTCATATAAATCTTTTCATCTAAATCACCATGAAAAAAAACAGTTTTAACATTTAGTTGTTTTAGATTCCAATTAAAATAAGCAATCAAAGCAAGCATGACACGAACGGTAGAAAACTTTACAGGCGGAAATTTTTTTTTATTTGAATCAATACTCTCTTTTTGGGTAAAACCTTTAGCTACTAGTCTAGCTTTAAATCTAATATTATTTTCCTTATTTTTCACTTAAAAAATTCATTTACAATCCACCAATGAACAACTTTCAGGTTTGTTAACTAAAACTTAAGTGTTAGTATCATGTAAGGATTTTATTTCATCATCCATTGCTTTAATTCACTTATTTTTATGTTTTGAATTGATTGTTTCTTCATATGACTTTGGTTCATTACCATCAATTGTATCAAATACATTAAAAGCATATAAAGTCAAATCAAAATCATTAAATCTAACATGTTGTTTAATTGTTCTTTAGGGTCTACTCAAAATACCATAATTCAAATTATTACTTAAACGATCACACATATTTTCTTGTTGAAAATAAGCACATTGGTTACTAAAAACAACAAGATCATAATATAAACCCACATTTTCAGATTGAAAAACTATTTTAGGTTGCTTAAGTTCGTTTGAAAATTTTCAGAATTTTCAGAATTGTCTTTTCATTATTTTTCAATGAAAAACCATCAATTCTACCTTATTTTAAATACTATCAATTTCAGAAATTGAAACAGGTAACACATGCATCACAAAGCATTTCAAGCTCATTAAATGTAACATCATGACTTACATTTATTTAAAAACCACGACAGTTTTTAATTCATAGCCTATAGTTTTTAACACATTCGGGATAACCAAGAAAAATACATTTTTTTGCCCTAGGTTCTAATTTATCAGTTAGAATATGAGCAAACACAACACGACCAAACACCCTTAAATTTGACAAATCAATAGGCTTTCCAAACCACACGGATTAAGGACAATTATCATTCAAGGGAACTGTTGGAGACCTATTCACTAAATAGGTTGCTGCTATAATAGCCTCTCCCCAAAACATTTTAGGCAAACCCAAGGAAACCAACATGCTTCTAAATTTTTCTAGAAGAGTTCTATTCATATTCTCAGTCACCCCATTTTTTGGGGTGTATAAGAGATTATTTTGTGCCTAACAATACCATGCTCAACACACAAATAATCTAACCATTGATTATAAAATTAAAGGCTATTATCAGTCTTTAAAAAATTAATTTTCTGTCCGGTTTGATTTTCAATTAAAATTTTCCATTATTTGAATATTTTGAAAACATCAAATTTGTTCTTCATAAAAAATAACCGAACTTTTCTTGAAAAGTTATCAATAATAGAAAGAAAGTACCTACTACCATCATATGTGGGCTAACTAGAAATGCCCCACACATCAATATGTAATATTCCAATATATGAGATGATTTAATCAATTTAGGAGCTAAACCATTAGGAAATTGGACTATATGTTGTTTTTCATACACACATTTATCACAAAAAGGTAAAGAAGAAATTTTATCTTTTCCAAAATACTAATTTTTGTGTAAAATTTCTAAACATTTAACATTTATATGCCCAAGACTTTTATGTCATAATTCAATTTAATCATCACACACTTTATTTGAAAAATCTAAATCTAAAACAGGCTCCACCTTAGTGACATACAAATTATTTTTTCATTTAGCTTTGAAAACAACTAAATAACCTTTTAAAACTTTCATAAAATCATTTCCCTATTTACCTTCCAGCCTTATATCCTCTAAGCCCACACAAGATAACAAATTATTGCACAAATCGAGCACATGTCTCACATTATTTAAAACTAACACAAAACTGGTTTCAAATTTAAGACA